ACAAAAATTTTGGGTAAAATTCGCCAAACGTCGGCATATTGTCAATTTTTGATTTTTTTATCGTAGGTCATTGTACTGATAATATTATCTGTAGAGAATTTTTTTTTTAGATTTCATCCACGGAGAAGGCCGGAATCACTACAGCTGTGAAGGACCTTTTTTCGCGCCATTGGAGATCGACAATAACTTAAAAAATATTTAATTTTTTTCTTCAAAAATTTCACTTTATATTCTTAAAATTTTGAAAAATTTTATAAAGTATTTTTTTAATAAAAATTTGCAAAAATCACCCAGTTTTAGGCCATCACACTAGGTGTGCCCATTAAGGTTCTTCATCTTAGGTCAACTAAAAAAAGTCACCTCTAATAGAAACCTTGTTACAAAAACCGACTGTACATTTGTGTTTATTGCTTCCAAGACAGGGATGATTTGTGAGTCAGTTATATATATATATATGTCCTTTCGTCTACGTTTGCTTCGCTTTGCAGCATAGTTAAGACAATATTGTCTACTCTTAGTTCTCCAACTGTGTTTTCAAGTTTGGTTCTCGCGTCTTGCCAGCGAGTGCATTGAAAGATTGTATGCTCGGCGTCATCTTCATCAGCATCGTTATAAATACATGACGGATTTTCAGCTTTCCCTATTTTATGGAGGTATTTTCTAAAATATCCGTGACCGGACAGCATCTGGGTAATGTAGTAGTCTACTTCCCTGAATTTCCTGGTTGTCCATATTCTGACGCCTACTTTTAATCTGGCCGTCCATCGACCATGACCTCCTTCTTCCCATCGGGCCTGCCACTGGTTCAGGGTTTCTTTCCTTATGTCCTCTCTGTTTGTATTAATAGTGCATCCTAGGTACTTTATTTTTTCAGCGTCCAGTTTCTTTTCTTTTCGGCCAATATATCGATGGGAACGCTTCCACTTATTGCAGCTATAGCTTCCCCTGATACTGTACGGTATTCCGACGCTACTCTCAAAGCCGCCGTACGGTATGCTTTGGCCAGTACCATTCGCCTATTATTCTTCCTAAGTGAGTCCGCCCATAACTCGACTCCATAAGGTGATATGTTAAGGGTTGCCGCCATGATAATCTTCCCTTTCTTTTGAGTTGGGCCTCCTATGTTAGCCATTAGTATGCTAAGCTGAGAAGTGACTTTAGAGGCCTTTACTGCGGCGTGCTGGATTTGTGCCCAGTAACTCAATCTAGGGTCTCGTCTTACTCCCAGATATTGTAGTTAACAACTCTTCTTGACCTCAGTGTATCCGCGATTGTGTGCATGTCTATTTCCAAAGGTATGTGTTTCCTGTGTAATTGCAGCAACTCGGTTTTGTCTGTTGCGAGTTTGAGACCATGTTGGTCAAGCCACAATTTTATTCTTATCTTTACTTGGTTTAACTTCCTACGTGCATCTTCCGTATCGCGCGCGGTGATTATAGCGGCAATGTTGTCAGCATATCCCACGAGATATATACTATCAGGCATCTCAAGGTCCACTATGCCATAGAAGCTGACGTTCCAGAGGTCTGGCCCGAGGATAGAGTCCTGCGCTGCTCCTGCCGTCATCTTGTGTTTTCGCTGCCCGTCGGTAGTCTGGTAGAGTAAGACCCTGTCTTTAAGGTAGCTCCTTACAATTAGGCAGAGATACAGGGGGATGGAGAATATATTCTCTAGGGCTTCGGTCATATCTTTCCACCGTGCACTGTTGAAGACATTTCGAACTTCCAATGTGGCTAGGAGGACTATTTGCTTGTGACACTTGAGAACTCTCCACCTCCAGCAATATCTGCTTGCAGTCTCGGTTTTAGCAGTCTTTCCAGAAGCTTTCCAGAAGCTTTCCAGCAGTGTCCAGCATGCAGGTTCCCTTTCCCCTTACTAATTAGCACTAGCTGCTGTCTTTTCCAGATTTCTGGGAATATGTTTCTTTTCAGTTAGGCATTAAATATATTAAGAAGTAAGTTAGGTCGTTTTAGGGCAATCACCTTCAGTACTTCGGCGGATATTCCATCGGGGCCTGGTGATTTGTTTGACTTGAGCTTACTTGCCGCTATTTGTAGCTCTTCGGTAGTGAAACAAGGTGTTTCTATAGGAAGGTTCTCCAGGGCTGCTTGTTCTTCCCGTATCTCATGTGCTGGAAATAACAATCTGATCCCTTTTTTGTTCGGTAAATTCTGGGGGAGGTGCCCTAGCGCCAAGCTTTTTCATCACTACTCTGTACCCTAGCCCCCAAGGATCCCTATTTAGATCGTTACGCAACTTCTTCCACTTTTCATTTTTACTATTCTCGATGGTACGCTTTAGTTCTTTTTTCGCAGAGTGGTACATTTCCATTTCTGTGGATGCATTGCCTCTTCGTCTGTTTCTTGTATAAGCACACCGTACTTAACTTATTTTTAACCGTTGGTAATACTCATTCTCCGCTGCGGAATTCACCTTTTCTGCGCCTCGCTCTGGTACCACCGTCTGCTCCCATCAAGTTGATCTCTGATTCATCCAAAAGAAGACTTGTTCCCAATATTCAGCTGTCGAACTCTCATGTTGTTTGCACTATTCCAGTCCTGTACGTCGCAGTTTCCCCATCAGGCGAGGTTTTTTAGCTAAATGGTAAAATTCTAGGCCCGTGCCTTTCAGTTTTTGCAATCTATGATATTTTGCCATTTTCTGATACCTATTGCTGTTTCTTTCAATTTAGTAATGAAATTATTCACGAAAATTTGTAATATTTATACATTATGTAGGTAAGATACCGAAATTTGTACAATCAAAGAATATGTAAGCCTTTTATCCACCCGATACCAAATAAATCAATTTTGATGTAATGTAATGGTAATGTCGCTGAGTGTATACAAGACGATGGTGTTCACACCAGTTCACCAGCTTTAAGATCTTATGCAGAAAGCTATATAGAAGTTACATTAATAAAACTGATCATTTGATTTTTGTTTATCTTTTCTTAGAAGCTTAGCTTTGCATTATATAATGCTTAAAAAAATTTTCATTAAACAAACATTTAAAATTAATTTGAATGTTATCAACCTGTAAACAATTATTTAAAATAATTTTTTTGGTTTCCTTTATTTCTTAATTTTTTTTTATGTCATAATTTATTTAAATAACTTTATGCTAATTTGAAAACTACAAGCAGAATAGCAAGGGGCGGACCAAATGAAATTCGAGTCTAAAATATTCTAAAATATCATAATTGAAAACAGCTTGCCTCGCAGCGGTCAAATCAAATGCTTTTCTGTACAGAAAATTCGCTGTACATACGGCTTTTGTACTTGCTGACAAGCAGTTGACAGATGAGCGTAGAGACAGCTGGTATTATTTATTTCTTTATATCTTTTTTCTCAACATTTCTCCCACACAAATGGCCGACCTGCTTTATATGCATATATTACTGGAGTAGATATGAGGAAAAGTTCAACCAGCTGCGGGATAATTCATTACAAAAGCTAAATGGACAGAGTTTATGAGTACAAAAAGCAGAGAGTGGCATAAGCGTAAAAAATAAAGAAGGACCAGCGGAGTGTTACAACAGTCAGTGGACAACAGAAAAGTTTAAAATGCTGCAAGCAAAAACTTTGTCTAGCTGAAAGTATTTAGTAATCAGGGAAATTGTATGACAAAAAAAAAAAAAAAACATAAAATTCAGATAATCAAGCTGTTCTCGCTGATGATGGCACTGATGTAGTTATACGAGGCCACAAAAACAAAAAAATTAACTTAATATTGCTGTTGCAGCGCTTGTTGTCCACAGGCATGCTGCAGGCGGTGGGAGTGATATAAATGATGAGTGGCATTGTTGCTTTTTTTTTTTGTTTTGTTTTGTGTGTCCTAATACTCTTTGTTTTTTCTATAATAATGTAGAGCTTGTGTGCACTTTTTGTTGCTCTATATATTATTAGTTGTTGTGTTTTTGCTGCTAATATAATGTTTTCCGTTGTTACATGTCAATTTTATATGTAGTTTGTCACTTTACCCCACCTTACTCAGTTGTTATGGGTTACCTCAAAAAAACAATTAAACTACGGACCGCTAGTGTTGTTAGCGGTTGGTTTAGCTGACGGCATGAATTATGTGACCACTCATACCCGACTTCACCAATACACCTACTCCACTGGAGCAATATTGCTACAATCTTAATTAAAACGAAGCACTCTTCAAGGCGCTTAAACGCCACTTCCTGCTTTTGCCATATCCCACGCTTTAATTATATTTGCTTTCATTAAAGATTACCTAACGTTAAAAAGCTTGTCATCTTTGTACCTTTTTTAATCACAGCCTCCTTCGAAAATTGCTCAGAAGCTAACTTTATATTATGGGCGATGTGATGTAGTTACTACAGCACCTGACAACTTCTGCCATATTTTAGCACCCCCTTTTCCCGAGCGCTTTAGAATAATAACAAATGTTGTTATTTAGAAAATATTAACTTGCAGCCGACGGGGTGGTGGCAAGGTAAAATATAGAATTTTGCATTATCGGTTGTTGTAAAAGTTTGAGGAAAGTTTGAGAAATTAAAATCTAGATTGAAAGCTGGTTGTTGTTGCCTTTCAGATAAAAATTAAAAAAGAAACTAAGATTAAAATTAAAATTAAAGTTAAAATTAAAATTAAAATTAAAATTAAAATTAAAATTAAAAATAAAATTAAAAATAAAATTAAAATTAAAATTAAAATTAAAATTAAAATTAAAATTAAAATTAAAATTAAAATTAAAATAAAAATTAAAATTAAAATTAAAATTAAAATTAAAATTAAAATTAAAATTAAAATTAAAATTAAAATTAAAATTAAAATTAAAATTAAAATTAAAATTAAAATTAAAATTAAAATTAAATTTATAATTATAATTATAAATAATGGGATTACAAAACGTACAAAATTGTAATAATAAAAAAATTTTGCGCGTAAAATAAATATTTATTGATGCCCTACATAACACTTTGTGCACCATTTTTTTGACACAACTAACTGTTTTTTTTTTCTTCTTTCCAGGATGGCACATCAACGTAACCAATTGCTCATCATCTCCATATCCCTGCTGTATTGGTTTCGGCATACAGGCGAATGTTGGAAATTCGATGGCGGCGGTCCAGGCGCGCTCGGCCCTGGTATACAACAGTCTCATCCACCTGCTTTCAATACACCAATATTTATTGCCACCCATACACACCCTCGTCCGCCACGTAGCGCCTTGGCGGCATCTGGAGCGGCGATAGCAGCACGGGGTCCACCACCAGCTGTGCCGCCGCCAAGTGGGAATGGTGGCGCTATGTCAGGTGGCAGTTTTTCAGCGATGCTAAATGGTCAACAGCAGGATATCCTATATGCGTGTCCATTGAATAGTATGTGTCAGTGTGCTGGTTTGCCGAATGAGACGTCAACATTAATCGAAATCAATTGCAATGAAGTGGCGTTATATAAATTTCCAGGTTAGTACGAGGAGTGAATTTTTATATTTATATACATTTACATAAAACTCCTAGCCATTTAGTATCTTTTGGGGTGACCAGCAAACATAACAAGCAAATCTTGCTGGTCAAAAGCAGATGATCTTTCGAGTTCAACGCTAACTTAATGTTTACACTATAAAAGCTCTGTAGAAAAAATAATTTTTAATTTAAATTTCTTTAATATTTTATCATCCCAAAAGATTCCTTGTGTTAAAAAAGACAAACAAAAATTTTATATTTCTTCAATAATCTTAACGAAACTGCCTGCAAACCTTTATTTCATGAAAAGTTTCACAACAATTAAAATCTTCTACAACACTTCATCATCATAAATCTTATTGTGGCAACTTTCTCATTTTCATTTCCTTTATCCTTTTTGCCGGTGTGTTGGTCAATGCCGACAATTGGAGGATATTTGCCTGCAAGAGAAGGTCTAAAATGAAATGAAAAATAACACAAGAGAATGGGGGAATACATGAGCAGCTCTACAATAACTAAATTAAACTGGGTTACTGGTCGGCCGTATAAGATTCATTTAAATAATAGATGGAGTGAAGCGAAAGGATGAAACGCGCAAATTTCGAAAGGCTCAAATTTGAAGCAGATATTTTGACGCCTTGTGTTGCTGAAGTTGTTATGGATACAAGGAAAAATAATATTTTGAAGAAAGTGCTGACAGAGTGTAAATGAAAATTACCAGGCATTTTTTTCTGCATATAAAAATATGTGCAAATTAAACAAACTTCTAGGAGAAAAGGATAAAAGGAAAAAGGCTATTTAATTATTTCCTTTTAGTGTACTAAGAGATTTCTGTTAGAAACGGCAGCAAAAATTGAGAAAATGATTTATTTATTAAAATCTTTGAGCTCTGTTTACAAATTCTTATGAAATAATTAATTTTTTTTATAACATTAATGAAAAATTAATTCCTATTTTCCTACAGGAATATAAACGTTAAGTCTTTTTTAAATTTTTTATTTCTTAAGAACAGTTTACCTTCAATATAAATGTGTGTCTACTTGATGGAGTCCTTAAAACTTATTATTAATTTTATTTGCAAAGGGCAAAGTTAGTATATATAAGTGGGTAATTAAAAACCCAATTTCATTATTTAAATATTTAGTTCAAAATTACCAAACGACAGCTGGGTGAGATAGATACTGAGAACTGTACATGGACCAACCATTTACCAGATATATTTCTTCGCCCCGTTATCTAAATTTGGTAGTCCCGCAAAGCTTATACAACTGTATGAACTGACGTTATGCATCATTCTCACTCAAGATCTTAAAGAACTTCTCCCAGCGAGGTGCCAGACAATGTGACTCTTAATCGTGTGATTTCTTTCTCCAGCCTGAAAGTCAAGCGTATGGGTAAGGTAGTGAACAAGGACAAGTCAAAAATTTCTTGTCATTAAACAAACAGATTTTGTTGTTGTTGTACCTGTTCGCTAACCCTGCTTAGACTTAAGCTAATCCAACAAAGTCGCCCAAATCAACTGACTCCCTTTCTGATGTGCCTGGGTGGAGGTTCAGCTTCAATAGGATGCCTATTGGTGGTCTTTGCGGTAGTATCCCAATAGAAATTGCTTGCTCAGCAAAGCATTATGCTCTTTAACGACTAGCATAAATGCTTCAATGTACAAGATATGCCTCGGCAACATCAGAAAGTTGCCAGCCTTGGTCCTGAGGTCGGTGTTCTGGCAAGTCTCGTTCGTACCCGGTGCGCAGATCGGTGCCTCATAGTTATCGGCCGGCCGGCAAATTGCCTTGTATGTTGCCAGCATGGTTTTTTTTACCACAGGTGCTGCTGGCTACCGCTTTGAGTATCTTATTGCGGATCTGGAGTTTTGCGGCAATTGCGGTCGTATGCGAAGTGAAGGAGTGCAGGCTGTCCGAGGTCACTCCCAATATCTTTGGTTATTTATGGCCGCAGTTTTTCGTCATCGACTCTCACATCTAGTTCGAGCCTGTATTCCTTTGTCTAGCAGGTGAAGAAGTGGAACAGGTTGGCGAGATAGCCATTCACCTTCGAACAAAGATCATCTATGTCCTGGTTAGATACCAATATCGAACAATCATTGGCATATGAGGCCAAGGAAACCCCTTCTGATGGGGAGGATACCACCCTGCGGAAACTCGAAATTTGGTTAAGCCTCTTGACTAACTGGTTGTTTATGACGTTAAGTCCTGTTGTGGGGCTATAAACTTCAGGTGAGTGAGCATCGGGAGCAGTAAGACCTTCTTTCGGTGCGTAGAACCGGATTTTATTCGGCCAAAGGCTGTCACTCTTTCGGTGGCCAAACCCCGTTTAGGTCAACAGGTAACACTAATTTCAAAAAGGATCAACGCATTCGTTTCTCGTCTCTCACGTCATTGCTGACAGCCTTAACCTTGACGACGCAGAACCAACATTAATATTGTTAAATCGGCTTTGGGTGTTTTCAAAATTTAAAGAAAAATCTGTGAGAAATATTTTGTATGCACATTTATAACGACGAAAATTTAACAAACTAATAAATCTGCTGGGCAGAGCCCTTAAACAACCAACTTGTAGAAGATGCTGACGACGTCAAGTGAGAAGCTCCTCCGATCACGACCGTTTTCATTTGACGTTTTTACTCACAAGTCACTTCGGAGATGTGTCGATTTTGTTACGCTTCAGCAGAGACTGGCAGGTGGAGATTCGGTTCTATAAATCTCTTGCTCTTTAACTCTTGTGGCACCCTTACGCCGAGCTTCTTAATGCATGCAGCCTTACTCAAGTCGTTCCAGACAATTTTTAAAGCCTGGCCAATCGAAATAGTGTTCGGATGATAGTTTGACTCGACCATTTGCAATATTTATTCACATTTTCGACAATTAACCTTCCATGCCGTGGAACATCTCTGACTTCAAAAATTTCCAGAAGGAATTCGGCGAACTCACACTTCTAGCTGCTTGACTTGCGTTTTCGCCTTTTAAGAACAAAAATTGCGGAAAATAGCTGTAAAGCCATCTATTGCAAAAATAATGGGCTATGTTTTACTAAGCCAATATTTCTAACGATCGGTAAGAAAGAGTAGTAGAGCAGAAAGTGTATGCTTTAAATATTTTTACAATTTACTTACCTCAATTATTTATTTACTCATACACACCCTTTCCTTAAGAATCTTATTTTGGCCAGATTATATGGGAAAAGGGTGTTTGTATCTAACTGGATCCGCTCATGGCTTACTTACGACCGGAACACGCGAAGGGTTTGTTAATTTGTCTTTAAAAAAAACAAAACAAAAAACCTTCAACCTCTTCAAATTCAGGGAAAATATATAAAATAAAAAATTATAATTAAATATTAGAAGTAAATTTTTTTTAATTTTTATTGGTTCGCCATAAAAAATTAACAATTCCTCTGCATTAAATTATAAAAAAAATTTATTTATCAGGTGTACAACTTTGCTTCCACCGTTTTTTCTAAAATTAAAAGCTTTATTGCGAAAAAGTGCTTACAGATATATTATTCGAAGTATTGTCCTTCGCTATCGACAACTTTCTCCCATCTTTCCCTCAATTTTCGGATCCCGGATCGAAAAAAAGAGTCCTTTTTAGACGCTATCCATGAAACAATCCATTTTTCCAATTATTAGAAGGATTGAAAATGTTCATCTGCCAGGCCGTGTGCCATCGAACGGAAAAGGAGGAAGTCAGAAGGGGCGACATCTGGGGAATACGGCGGGTGGGGCAAGATTTCCCACTTCCCGTTTCCAGATACTATTTGACCACTTTTGCGACGCGTGGCCAAGCATTGTCGTGTTGGATGAGGACTTTTTCATGTCGCTCTTGATATTGTGGCCGCTTTTCTTTTAGCGCGCGACTAAGGCGCATCAGTTGCGTTCGGTAACGATCTCCTGTGATGGGTTGGCACGAATCTTCAGATGCATTTTTTTTTTCGAGTTTTAACAGAAAAGTAAAACTTCCCGCAAATGGCTAGAAAAGGGCACATAAACGGACATTTTCGAGCGTGAATGATATGAAAACAAGAATAACTGTCACTGAAACGGCGATGGGAACTCGTTAGGCACTGTTCACACTCTCTTTAAAGGCATTATCATCTATGTATTTCAACCAGCCTCTGCCGGTACAGCCGCCTATCGGAAAACGGCGGAAACAAGGTTATACACCTGATATTAAATTTTTTCAGAAACTTAAGCTCCAAGAGAAATCTTCTTTCTACTGTTTTCTATGCTATTTTTATTTGTTCACTCATTCAGCGCCCGTAGCAAAATCACTGCCTGATATTACTAATCCTGTATAGTGCTATTTACATTTTAATGAAGCCGTTTGCTGCAATCACAACAATTGTTGTACTGTTTTATATTTTTCTTTTCAAGAATTTAACTGCAACTTTCAGCTACATTTAAAGCAAAGCGAAAAACAAAAATGAATCTAAATAAAATGAGAAGATACTTGAATAAAAAACTTAAGCTAACTCGTTGCCAACTGCAATGCGACAAACATGCATACATACCATACATTTATATATGTACACCTTGAGCAGATAAGTTTGTACTTGCAAAGCTTCAAAACAGCTAACAGCTAATCTAGCTTTACGCCAAAATAAGCCGTTTGCTTGTTCCGCTGCTCACTTAAGCCCCTTGCCATCCGCTGCCAACTATCCACCTTTGGCCTTCGACGTATCAAGCTTTACGTTGTTATTGTTTTTCAACCTCCAAATTCTTGCTAACAATCGAATTGACTATGTTCCCTTCTTTCCGCTAGCGCCTTTATTCGCTTCGTTGGCGCATTGTCCGACAACACTAAATTAAGTTTTGTAGTTAAGTTTGCCAATTAGTTTCGAAATGAAATTGTTGTCGACTTGGCCGGTTGATTTTCATTTGCTTCCCTCTCCTTCGACTTTTTTTTCATCCTCATTTAGTTTACTGTCTTACAAAATGTCTTTTTCTCTTCCCTCAAGTATTCGTTGGTTTCATTGTGATGCCT